AAATGTAATTGCTCAAATTCAATCCTCCTGCTTTCACTGAAGCTACTCGCCTCTTTGAAAAAAACGAAGTCAGCCTTAATTTTCGAAAATTAATCTTTTAGGGTTTTACTAAAAAAAATCCTCATCATTTAGACGTATACTCACAATTTCAATAAAAAAAATACATGTCCGTCCCGTCGTCGAACCCACAATAGGGACACGATTGCCAAAGTGCAAACCTGCGCCCTCTTATCATGATGTATGTCTGAAAGTTTATTCCACACCACTCATCTCCATAAACAAAATAAAAGGTACTCAAAATTTGACCTATTAAGTGCTCCTTCGAAAACCAGAGCTCTTCAGTCGCCATGCCCTTGCGATGCAAAGGCGCTGCAATATCGAGTTGTCTCTCTGCTTTTGGCGTTGTGTAGGATTGCGTCCAATTTCATAATCAACGAACCTTGTGGGAGGAAAGCTGAAAACTACGTATAGAGAAGACACCAAAATTGATGGCGCCGGGTGTGAATAGGACTTATGGAATCATTCTCATTCAAGCCAGAGAGGGGCGAACTTGAAGAAGGCTTGAGAACCAGTTTGCAACTGGGTTTCGGCGAACCATCTGAGATGACATTGCCGAGAGGACTGTCATTTCGTATGAAAGCGTATGAGGAAGAAATTCAAAGGTCGAGCTCTCCAGAAGACGACAGCTGATTCCCGTTGTACTGCAGTCGTTTGGCTTAAATACAAAGTTCCAGTTGACAGCGTTTACGAGACATCCTTCTTCGTTCCGGATGCAAACTGGCTGAACTTTAGTTAATCATATGATGTTCTTTACAGCTTTCACTTGAAACGAAGAAGGGTGTCCCGTGGACTCCGAAACCCGAACAACGTATTAAAGAGAAAGAAATTCATTCTTGTAAAAGAATCCAGTTTACGCTGGGTCAAGAAGACCTTGCTGTCGAAGTAAAGTTGTATTTGCTATAACAATCATCTAAGTTACTTATACTTCATCCATAATTAGGCTTTCAAGACTATCAGTCAGTTTTTTATCAGGTTGTTTATACATGAAGTCTAATGGCGGCGTCAAAAAGGAAACAGGCAACACAGTCTATTGCTATAGGAAATACAACTTTTCCTCGTCGAAAAGCCCACCAGAGACTATGATACAGGAAAATACGTGGTCTTCCTTGAAATTTGCATTTACCCTGTGATTAAAGGGCACTCGTGGCAATGTGGCGTAGAAGCTAACGTGTCGAGATCGTTCGCCGAACTGCAGTTCACCCTGGATGAGAATAACTTTTGGGTCAGCAAGGCGGTGTGAAATTCACTGGAAACGAAAAGTCTATCCACATCATTGTGGCAAAAATTCAACTACCATTCCCCTTATTACCTTAAACCAGTGATTCCCAAACTGTGCGCCGCGGCCTCTTTATAGGCGCGGCGCGAAATATTGTAAAGCTTCAATTAGAGTAAATGTGCAGTGATCTTCAGGCTCATTCATCACATTAATTATTAGATATTAATTTAATGTTAGTAAAGTAAAAAAAATAATAAAGATACAGGAGTTTCGTTTATTTTTATCTCTTACTTGCGAATAGTCATACTTAGGGTAGGGCGCCATGAAAATATTTTAATTGAAAAAGGGCGCTGCGACTAGAAAAAGTTTGGGAACCACTGCCTTAAACGAAATAGGACGAATACACTCTATGCATAAATAACTTACTGGTAGTCTCTAAAACCTACTTACAAACGAAAGAGAGTAGATAAAGCTTTGCAGACATTTACCATTTGCCCGACCGATTCCTGGGTCTGGTGTGAGTCTAGGTCCATGAGGCAAGTTAACAGAAAATGGTTAGGCGAAGGTATGAAGACCAAGATGGTGTGGCCTTTTGTGTGGTCGCAGTCTCCTTTCGTTGTATAGAAG